AAATATTACAGTTTCTTATTGCATTACTACGGTTCTTTTTTTGTAAGGGACACACGCAGTCCCCTTGGCAGTTGCACCTCATGAACAGCTGAGTGACAGGTCAACGTGTGGTCAAAGTCTTGATCAGTCAACACCAGCCACACTCACACACCTCACAAAAGCAGGGGTGGCGCCTTTTGCTTTTTACATTGTGACCAAGTCAGAATTCCACGCTCTCTCTGGCAGCACACTCATGCTTTCAAATGGCAATAAGTCCTCATTGGATGATCTAATACAGTAGGGCAGTCGCTGGGCAGTTATTTTGACTAGGTGTCAAGTGCCCTCAAAATAAAAGGCCACGGCGATCTCTGTTGGAGCCAGGGACTGTTCCATTCCGTGCAGTGTACATAGAGAACACACTTCTGCTTTGGATACAGTAGCAGAGGCCATTCAAGGGCCAGGATGCTGGAGAATCAAAGAGTATACCAAGTTTACCAAGTATGCTAAGAAGGAGATAGCCTCTCCATTAGAATATTAGAGCGGCACGGAGCTGCCCTAATCTGAATTTCATGACTACTTTTAAGACAAAACAGAATGTTCTGGCTACAGAATGTCACTTTGGAAGACAGCTGGGCAATAATTGGTGGCATATTTTATTTAGTGATTGAAAGCAGTGCATTAAAAATTATAAAAAAAACATGAGTTAGACTTGAGTCAGTAGATCATAGATTCAAGACACTGTTGTAGGCATGGCTATACAGCCTTTGGCACGTAGAGATTATAGTTTTGCCCTTTGGTGATGGTGACTGATACAAACACTGACGTTCTACGCTCACGTCAAAGCTACTCTTCAAACGGGCCGGACGTAAACAGTTTCGCCACCTCTCAGTTAATCATCAATCAAGCAGTCTGTTGAGCCATAAATTCCTTCATTTCTGTGAAATGTTCTACTTAGTTACCATTCTTTTACACATTAGCCACTTTTTCGACTGCTGATTAGGTTTAAATTGTAGGCATGTCAAACAAAAACTGGTGGATACTAATACTTCTAGAACAGATTATTGTAGCTGTATGAATGAGTATATATAGCATAGAAGAAAGAACGCAAGGTTCCTGGCACTCCTTTGCATCAAATCAATGATCTAAGAAAAACTGAACATTGGTAATATGCTGTTACTGTCATAAGTAAACCTTGGAATTCCTTGTGATTTATTTTTTGTAATCATTTAATGACAAATGGACCAATAGGAAATTTTGAAAAGTAAACATTAAGTTTATAATAAGTTATACAAATATTTCCTTCTATACAGTTTCTGTTTCAGAGATTTGAGCTTTAATGATGACAGTGGCAATGGTTATTTGAGAATGAGACCTAGAATGTTGCTTGGAAATTTTGCAATGCCATTTAAACGTCTTAAAGAGCCATAGAAATGTATATCATCATGGTCAGAACCTTAACAAGATTTCATCATAAGTCCGTTTTCAACCATTTCTATTGGTCCATTTGTCAAGAAATTTTGACCCAGCATAATTGTCAGTTGCTGATTTCAAATAAGGAAAAAAAAATGAAAAAATTGAGATACAAGGTTTTGTTCCAGCAGTGATGATATATTTATGTTTAAACACAATAAAAAAGAGAAAAGAAAGGAAAAGGATCTTGCCTTTTTGAAGACTTGAATGTATGGTTTGTAAATGCATGCAAATGCACATAACAGTATCTACAGTATTTGTCATGTGACAGTATTTAAATATACAGAAATTATGCAAAAAGGGCAAAAAAAAAGAGAAGAAGGGTAAAAGGACCTTGTCTCTGAGTGCCATGTCTTTTACAAATTTGCTAGTGAGTTGTTTTAACCCCCCTCCAGTCCATTCCCAGGAGAAGGCTGGTCAGTGACAGTGCAGCCCTGCTGGCTAGTGCTATGGGGCAAAGGAAAGGCCCCCCTGCCGGCCCCCACCTCCACTGCATTTTAGCCCCAGAGATGGGCCTGATAACTGGGAACTGAACTGGCACTGAAGGGCATTAGCTGTCACGTCACACCCAGTCAGTAGGCAGCACTGCCCTACTGGCTGCTATCTCTCTCACTAATCTGCCTGCTAGCCAGCCCCGCACGGCCCTGCAATAATGGGACATGATGTAAAAATGTCAGAAAAGAGCAAGACATGAAATAAATGACTTCACTGAATCCGATTCATTAAAAAGGCCTGAAGCTAGATGCGCAGGAGGGGAGGGCTGAGTGCGTGTGGTGTAACTCGGACAGAGAGTAAGAGGGAAAGAGAGAGAGAGAGAGTGTGTGAGAAAGTGTGTGCCTGAGTGTGTGAGATCAGAAGACTAGGCAGGCCACCTATTAACTACACTGCAGTCATGCGGGTTAAGAAAACATTGCCAGGGGTTTGAATGGGAGCAAGGGGAGGAGATGAAAAAGTTCTGCCAACTCACTTTACACAAGAGCTGGCCATTTATTAACCTGTCTTCACATCGCTGCTGAGCGCTATAGTGACCCATACAGGCCAGCAGCGGCAGTGCACTGGAAACACGCACACGTAAGTGTTGATATTAATACCCTACACCACTGCTGCAGGGCCTACTCATAGCCCCTGGCCAATATCAGTAGTATAGGCCTACAGCGCTAAATGCAACTCAAAGGATAAAAGTGCGACAGTAAATATGCATCAGTTCTTCAAATCTCTAATCAACAACAAGCTGCAAGCATTTTTCATATTTTACCCCTTAACCTTTAAATGGCTCATTTACTAACCTTATATCTAGCACAAACTGATCTACACATTCTTGGGAAAAAAAGTATGAAACTGTCAGTGAGGCAGTACCCCTCTTGTCACTGGGGTGGTACTGTCAAGGGTACATCTCAGTACCTTTAGTCAGGTTACATAATTGTACCATAATCCATTGAAATTATATTTATAGTTGTATTGACTCCACACACCCTGTCTTGTCTCCAGGCTTTTATTTTATTGTTCTGTTTTAAAACATTAGTTATGAAATGCTATAAATATGTACTTTCGGGAAAAACTTTTTAAGGTACACAATTGGATGTTTACATTGTTTGTACCTTGATGAACAAAAAATGTACCTGCACAGAACCTTTATTTCTAACATTGCACTCTTAAAAATGAAGGTGCCTAAAAGACGCTCTCCAGAGAACCAAAAGTGGAACCCATATTGGCAGCTTTTTTTAAGTGTAAAGTAAAACTCTTTTTTTGTTTACATTTACAATAACAAAAGAAGAAATTAAATTTGTTCCCTTTTCATATTTTTTTGCCACTTGTCTAAAAATGGACAAGATAGAGGGGTGGAAATGACATGAATATAAGGTTTAAATTAAGGTGTGACCTGTGGCACATGTGAGCTTTGACATGGCTTGTCAGAAAGATATCCCTGACCCCACCCCCTCCTTTAATGATTTAATGACATATTTGTATCTTATATATAACTTATTAAAATGCAATAAATGTACATGTATTTTTTAAAGTATTTTAGAGTATTTTTACACTAAAACACACTAAAGATTATGGTGCCTTTGTGTGATGCCATATAAGAAGCATTTTGGGTTCCTTAAAAAAACTTTCAAATGGGTGGTTCCTTAGAGAACTATATTTGCAAATGAAATGTGTGAGTGCAAAGAAGCTTTTTAGAACCTTAAAACCTCCATATAATGGAAAGGTAAAGGATTCCTTCCCACTCACACATCTGCTTTACAAACATGGCTCTTCAGGGAACTAAAAATGGTTCTTCGACGTTTTTAAAACCTCAATTGAAAACACCTGCTTTAAATAATGCTAAATGATCCGCTTTTATTATTACATACATTATTAAGTTATGAACTGCAAGAGGAACAGCAAAAATAAGGATGTCTGAACAGGGCTTTGGATATCGTTTCTAAGCCCTTTGACACTGATACTGTGTTCAAGACCCAACAAACACACAGGTATTTTTATCCTGCCCTCTCTCTCCTCTTCCTCTTGCCACAGGAACCATGAGGCCCCACAGAGTGACTGTATAACACCACAGAGTCACTGTACAGTCCCCAGGGCCAGCACAGCGCACAGCCCTGTACACGGTCTCACAAACAAGCACCAGCGAGCCTGAGCGAAAACAGCCCCTGCTCTTTTACCAAGCGCTCGCTTTCACTGACGAAGAGCAAAGCCGTGTTATCATTTTTCCTCTCCATCTCCACAGATAAGACCGTAATGAACTAGCCGGTTATCCCGGGCCTGAGCCGCTTTGTTTCATCTGCCACGTTTCTTCTCCTCTGGACTTTGCTTTCTGTGTGAGTGATGGAAAATGCTACAGAGTAACAAGTGTAAAGCTTTAACCCCTCCTCCTCTTTCAGCAACATGACAGCACTGAAATGGGCCAGGCTCGTTTAGAGGCTGACACGCTTGATTTACTGCTAGACCAAGATTTCAGTGAGCTAGAAGAACAGAGCGTTACTCCACTGACTCAAAATAAACTACAGTATGTGTGGCATTAATGAGGGAGCTAATGTGTAGGTCGCTTGAGGTATTAACCCCTGATTGTCTCCGTCCACAATCAGTAGCATTATGACTTAACCACTACTTTGTGAGCAGTTTAAGGCTTGATAAGGCATCCACGACAGAAACGCTAAGCTAACATAGTAGGCAAAGGTTGCTGGCTTATCACAATATCAAGACCCTAAAAATGAGTCGATACAGAGTTTTTTTCTTTTGTACTTTCCGAAGGATAACGAAAAGCCAAACACAGCAGTTTATCCAATATTAACTATCAAAGCTTTCAAAGAATCCAGCACTCACTCACTTGTACTTTCCATTATCTCTAAACACTGTAAACTAGAGTGTGAAAATCCAATAATCTGGTGCCTTATACTCTTGTACTCTAGTGATAACCTCTTCTGAGATCAGGCTTTACTGTTCCAATCCAAGTCTTCAGTATAACACACTGAACCCATCCAATGTCCTCTTGCATCTATTCAGTGAAAAAGTACAACAATGGACATGTTCTAGCAAAAGATGGCCCTCCTTACCTCGAACAGATTGGACGACTCATTGCCATACTGGCTGGAAATGATTTCTGATTGGTCGCTGTACCACTTGAGTCCACCCAGAAAGCTATCCGCATCCAGGTCGCTGACGTCCAGTTCGGAGAGGTCCAGTTCGGGCAAGTCAGGGCAAAGGGGCTGGTCTTCCCCAACCAAGGCAGCACACTGCAAAAGAAAAGAATGACCATCATTCCTTATCAGTGAAATGTGCCCAAACCAGTCGATCTCAGACTATAGAAACAACACTAAAGATTATTCAGTAACTACTATGAAAATTAAATGTAAGTAATGCTACTATAAGCTTATATGAAGTCATAAGAATATGAGCTTCTATCCAATTATAAATATCTAAAGCATACTGTTTAACCCCTTAAATAGCCAAAGGTTTATTACACACTTCTATAACCCAAGAATAGCTCAACCTGATTGCACTTAAGTCCCTGTAGTTACTGAAAAATAAGCCTTATTATGTAATAAGACCTGTTTTTTCAGGGGTTAAACAATCTTCCTGAATGGTCCTAAGCTTGGACAGATGGTTCTAGGAAAAAAAAAACCTTAACTTCTGTAGGTTCTTTAAGGTTCTTTGCATGCACACTAAAAGATTCTTTAGTGGCATCACTGCAGTAAGTCCTTTATTTTTCAGTATATGTGGTTTAAAGTGTTGACTAAAGGAGAAGCAACATATGAATGCTGTGGTGAGTGTAGTTTATAAAGAGGCCAAAGTCTGGGCCTAAATCTCTCCAGTTCTTCCACTATGTCACTCACTCCAATGCTTAACATGCTGTAATTTCTTTCTTCTGAGAAATGTAAGGACAATACTGTCATTTCTCTGTTTCTGTTGGAGAAAGACGTTTCTGCAGCGCTGCCTATTAATATTTCGACTGTTCACCGGCTGCCTCACTATGCAACAGTGCGACAGCTGCTGCGTGGCTCCTCGAACACAAATTATAGGCTTCATCGAACTGCTAACACTGGGATCAACACACTTAAAACCTGCCAACCTTCAGTTCTATCTGAGGCTTTATAACACTGCAGATCTACAATTGGCTTGTGTTTACTGTGTAAACAAGTTCCTGGGATGATCTGCCAAGCTGCACTGTGTTTTTTTATTTACATATTTATTTGTTTATTCTACTCTTTTTTCAGAATATGCATTAAGCATAGACACTGGAGTGTTTGGTCAGTCTGTGAGAGCTGTGCCATTATGTCATTATGTCTGGATCCTGTTATGAATGTGTAAGTAATCAAAGCAGCAGAGGAAGATTGTGTTCTATGTCCGAACCTTCAAAAAGGGAACAAAGCAGCCATAAATAAAAAGCAGTGGTTTTGGTGTGAGTGAGTGAGTGAGTGTGTGTGTGTGTGTGTGTGTGTGTGTGTGTGTGTGTGTGTGTGTGTGTGTGAGAGAGAGAGAGAGAGAGAGAGAGAGAGAGAGAGAGTGTGTGTGTTGGGGGGCGATCATACAGCCCTCAGGGGATAAATCATACAGTATCTACAGTAAAGAAGGCTGTGAAGAGGGCTGTGGGCAGGATCCAGTCGAAACGCTTGCGCTGCATCCATAATGTGTTCACCTTTGCACCTTCTGCTCTGCGCACCCTTTGAGTTTTAATTACGAGCCCGTAACTGTGCTTACGCATCGCTTTCCAACACAAACATTTCCTCCGTCCCTCCGGTTTCTATCAGTGATCGGGCCTTATTTGTGCAAGCTTAGCGCAAAAAAAACAAAACAAAACAAAACAAAAAAACGGTTTGGACATGTTTTGTGTGTGTGAGGCCATGTTTTTAGCTCTATGCGGGGATCCCATGTTCCCAGGATGACAAGATATTGCCATTGTGGGGACATTTGGAAAATACACACAAGGAAAAAATGCTTTTTAGGCAGAAAAGCAGGCTTTACTTCAAAGTACTCTTTTTATTCATGAATTATTTCCAGATTTCTTTTGGTTACTCAAGTTAAAGTTGGGGATGGGCCAGGATAGACAGAATCCAGCGACAGTAATACAGTTTAATTGAAAGACCCCACAAAGAGAGTAATACAAACTGAGTGCGAAGCGAAGGTCTATGTATGTGAAGTGTGAGAGAGACACAGAGAGAGAGAGAGAGAAGAGGGAGAGAGAGAGAGCTGGGGGGCGGGGCTACTGCTTACCCACGAGGCGCACGAGCATGACGCCAGAGTTCGACTAAGGGCGCGTGGCCACAAGACCCAAACACACACACACACACATTTACGCACACACACCATCAGTGAGCCCCACTTCAGCGGCAGTAACCCCGACAGTGCGTGCGTGTGCGCCGCTTTGATTTAGCGCACAAACCTGCGCCAGCGCAACGCGCGCGCACCACCAGCTCACATTACAACGAGGAGAATCTAAACACCCACAGCGTCTGTAGCGACTTCCTCAGGTGCTGTTAGAACAGAGAGAGAGAGAGAGAGAGAGAGAGAGAGAGAGAGAGAGAGAGAGAGAGAGAAAGAGAGAGAGAGAGCTACTGCAATTGTGCTTTACTGGAAAGCAGCCGCGAGACTGACTGGCGAATGGAAAGAGCAGCAAGACCGAAGTAATGAACGATAACCAGGCTAAACATAGACGGCAAAAAACTCGATATCCAGCGTCAGACCTGAACCATCTATGCTATGAATAATTGAAATGTTACAGACCGTTTCAGTCTTACAGGCTACATTTACTGCTCCGGTAAATAAAGGCAGAAATAAACAAATGAGCTCCCCTATGCAGGCAGTACACACACAAACAGCGAGATAAACAGACAGACAGACACATATATGTATGCACAGCTGTCTCTCAGCCAGTAGACTGATTCCCCTGAGCGCGATCACAGTGTAATCTCCTCATTTCACTCCAGTTCCCGTATTTAAACACATTAAAACACCTGTCCTGCACCACCACAGCTCATCAGCCCATCAGAGCAGCCTGGGTCGCTGCCTGCGCTCACACTCAGCATCGCCTGCGTTACTTCCCTTCATCCGCCGAGCTGGTGAAATCCCGTCAGCTGGACGGACAGAACCCACTCTCTCGCGCTCTCTCTCTCTTTTCACATACACTCTCTCTCTCTTCCGAACGCGTTCACACGCGCGTTAGTGTCTGCGTGCACTTCTCATCCCTTCGGGCTCCGTTTTAAAACGGCTGGAATCCGAGAGAACAGAGGAAGTTGCAGTGGGCAGCACCTGGCGCGGATACATGTGAGCGATCCCGAGCAGGTACCTGTATGTACGGCGCAGCTCGCCGTTCAACCTGCTGCCCAACCACATAAAAAAAGGAAAAAACATGCCAGACAACCCACCAAAAAAGCACAATTTCTCTCAAAAAGATAAAAAAACAGCCTTTCCTCTCTCGACCCGTGTATTCCCATGCGTTCCGGAGCTCCGTTTCCCTTTTGCTCAGGGTACCGGAGCAAACAGCCACTTCACTCAACGCAAAACGCAGCCAACGTCCACCTTCCCCCCTTAAAGAAAAGAAAGCCCGGCTCCGGTGTTCAGTTCTGCCTGTTAAGTTTGCCGTTATTTCTCACCTCTAGTTCTCTCCACACCGCGTCCTGGTTGCACCTGTCCCACGCCATCCAGACACTGAATGACGGTTGCGGAAGAAAAATATGCGTGTATAAAAAACAAAATCAAAAAAGGAAAAAAAAAAAGAAAATCAAAAGGATGACGAGAAAGATCCGAGCGGTTCCAGCTTGCTCTCATGCAGGGAAGTGCCCCTCACTGTGCGAGAGAGCGAGGGCGACCTGTCTTACAACTGCTCTCCATCACATGACAAAGCTATTAAAAGTAGGCAGGCGAGTGACTCCCCTCTCGCCGCTACTCGCCGAGACGTCACGGAGAAGAGGCGTGGCCTCCGCGTAGTAAAAGCCATCCCGTGCGCTCTTTTTTTCCTTTTCCCACCCGTATACCGCGCGGCCACGCCCACCCGCTGCGTGGATTGGTTGAGAAGAGTCTGCCTCCTGCCCTACGATTGGCTATCTGAGCAGTCCGCCGTTCGCCTCGAGAATCAGCCATGAGCCAATCCCAGCTTAGGAAGGCGTGGCTTTCCGGAATACAGGTGGGAGAAAAAGGAACGTTACCTCCCTCCTCCCCCCAGCAACGATTCTCACCGACGGGTTTCTGCCAAGAGACTCCAGCACGGCTGCTTTCCTCTCAGGTTATCGAGTGGAGTTGGAATGGAAGTGAGAGAAACAGCCAGCGACTGTGTTTAGACTCTCTTCAGTTGTCACTGCAGTCGTTTAAAGCTAATCAAGCTCACGTTACTGGCTTTAGCGAGAGTCGTTTTTTTTTCCTGCTCGCTAGTCAAAACACAGAAAGGATCTGATGTGTTGCTGTGGCTGCCGGAGACTGTTGAGCGTTTAGTGCTGGGCTCAGTGCTGTTACGCTCCGAGCGTATATATTTTACGTATTAGACTTTTGCCTTTTCAGCGAACTGTTTTCTCTCAGTGTAATTGCTGTATTGGTGCTGCTTAAGAAAAGCTTTTAATCCTTAATTACTTTCGCTCGGCGAAGTAAACAGTTGCCGAAGGGGCAAATCTGGGAAATCGTTATCGCAGATCTCCAAAACATGCTCAGGAAAAAAAAAAAAAAGAAGATTTTATTTTTTTTAATTGTAATGATATTTGCATGTCTTTTAAAAGTTATTTCTACTTTTTTTTACACTTGTTTTGCTTAATTAATTTTATAAACACTGTCCATATATGTTTGCTGACATTGTTTCTGAGGAGTTTCTGATGGGTATCTGTTCTATTGTTGCTGTGCCACACGCGCCCGCCTCGACAGCTGTACTATGAGCGTTATTTGTTCCCTGTGTAGTCTTACAGAGTGTTCATGTGAGCTCAGGCTCCGCTCATTGAGCCCTGCTCTCCATGAGAAGCACACGCTGCTCTCTTGGACGCAGTCTGGCTTTAAGCAGCAGAAAGAACTGGGCAGGAATGGAAAATCATCCCAACTGCCAGATTAGTTGTATCCGTTCTCCACGGCCTCTTTTTTTCAAGAAGCAGCAGGTGACAAGGTGTACAGTGTCAATATTTCATGTGTACGAAACAGTGGCGCACAGAGCAACAACAACAGCTCTGTAGACAGTCAAAACAAAGCATGAGGCAGAGTAGTGGCTAACGGTAGCTCAGCAGTTAATACTGTCTGTGATAGGATTTCATGTGGACGTTTTTTTTCTTCCTGGTTTCAGATGGGAAATAAACTCATCTCCTTTCCAACCAGGAGAAGAGTCGTCCATTAGATTGGATTCTGGATTTTTCAGAGCATGGACAGATGTCCAGTACAAACCTTATATGCCTTTGCATGACATGCTACTGTTCACACGATTATATTGGTGGCGCACTGGCTGTAGGCTGCACTGTGATATTGCATTTCATGACATTCTAGAGGAATATAATATATTTGGGGAGATATACAGCACCCCAAGGCTTTAACTCTGTATGCCTAATGCTCCAGCGCTGAGCCAAACACATCCACAAAAATACAAGCAGGATGGATTTCATAATATGCAAAATCTGTTTGAGCCATGGTGGCAAAGGTATGTGCTTTGACATGCTCTATATGGACAAATGGCACATGCAACCCTTCCTATCCATTGCATGATTGAGTAGATACAATATGGGCGTAAAAGAGATGAATCTGCAACCCACCAATGGTGCGATTGCAGGCTGGAGCAGAAGGGATGGAAGTGGATGGCTGCATATTGCACGGTAGAGGCATGCGAGACACACACACACACACACACAAGCAAACCTTATCTGATTGTACTCGTCATGCCAATTAAGAAAACGCAGGCTAAAAATAGGCTTGTCTCTGTTGTGATTTTCTTTCAAATGGCTTTTGATTAGGTTTGCTTTTTTCCTGCTGGCAGATGAAGTCTCCAAGACGGCTAGATAGTCTGCTCTAGACAGAGTCAGTCTACAGGCAAATCAGCATGGAAGCGTATGGCGGTACCCTGTAAGAACGACTGTACATCAACTTGACAAAGGGCTGTTGATTTAGGTGTCAAAAGGGACCATGCTTGACCAAAAAATCAGCTCAACACAATCACAAGATGCATAATTCAGGCAGAAATTCAGGGCCTAATAAATCACTATGCCATAAATCTCAACAGTGCACAGTAATCCTGAAATATGGCAAATTAAGAGTAAAACTATGATAAGATCTCAATTGGAGGCAGGCTTTAATTCAGATACGACCATGTATATTTGCATGCTGGAAGCACGCCATGCGTTTCACTGCCCAGTAAAGATAGTGTATATATAATTCTTTTCAGATAAGGTTACTTGCCCATAGAAATGCGCTGATAAGCCGTGCCTACTGAAAGCTTGGAGACACCAGCCCAGTAAAACATTTATTAACGTGGGCTTGGAGGCAGATTTGGGGCAAAGCCCGGGGAGCTTACCTTGCAGTTTGAAGGCATCTGTGCTCATGTTTGCTAAGCTGACTCTTTTCTTTTGTGGGCTGTATTCCACCATTTGTGGAGGGGAAACCATGTCTCTTAGAAATGAGGAAAGACTATGCCTCCAAGTCTTTCAATGTGGTTTCTCCTAAAACCTGCCAAAGTGGAATGGATGCATTTCCTACAAGTCCCATATAGCAGTGTAAACAAGATAGGGTGAGCAAATGGTTTACACATTCTGGAACAGATGCCAATTATTCATGGGTTATGATTGCCCATGCATTGCGGCAAAGCTTTAATAATCAGCCTGGTATCCATGTTGTTATTCTCTGGCATTCTGTTGTGGTGCATGTTACTGCTGGCAGCATGCAAGGATCATGCTGGAACTGCAGCATGCCAATCCAAGTAAATTATATAGCTAACATATTGCATGTCCTTCAGGATGGGTCTGCTGCCGCAGCATGCTTCCGATGAAATCCAGCACAGGTGGATATCAGACATGGAAAAGTGATATACACAGATCATATACGATATGAAGAAATGAAGTCATGTCTTTATCCATATGATGAACAGCTCAATTAATGTCTCCAGGAATACTAAACCAACATGCGGCCCTGTATCTTCAAATCCAGCATCTCTGACTCCACTCACTGACTTTTCTCCACTCTCTGAGAAGCGAACACGTCTTATCATCATTAGATATCCCTCGCAAGAAAAAAACAAAAGGAAAAATAGATGAAAGCTACTTTAAAAAAGTAATGAGAGGGACTCACCTGAAATGCATCTCCACCTCAGCACACAGGATACCATCTTAAGTCTACAAATAAAGCTAAGGATAATTACAGCAAATGAAAGCCCCACACTTCTGAAAGGAAGTCATCTCCAGAGAAGAATGAAAGAAAGCCATTCAGCCCCACTCTAGCAGAACAATAGCCTTTCTATTGACGAAAGTCAGCCATTTCACAGAGGGTTTGGAGTGTGGCTGATTGCCACCTTGGAGAGTCCAGCGTGTATTACTGCGGTGAATGCCATAGCTGGGCTGGGGCATGCTAGCCAGGGCTCAACTATGAAATTGGAAATAACAATGGTGCGAAACAGCGGCGTGTCAACAACAGGAGACAACTCCAAAGAGAAGTATGGACTTGGTGGGGAAGCCCCATGTTATTTTGTAGAGAGGCCTTACAATGCTGAAGCCTTGCTCCTCCTTCGGGTGAAAATATCATGGTCATGTAAGAGAACAGGGCCCAGATGCATAGATTCATGTTGCAGCAACGCGTGAAAAAAGCCTCCCCATCTGCGCCTGTTATTAAGGTGAGTTAGAATCACCACGCAGTCATGAAAGATGCATGGAGAACAACACAAATCTGGCAGGAAAACAGGCACTGGCAGGGCAGCGTTTTTACGAGTCTGGAATGACATATGCGCATGAAAGCTGGAGGAGATTTGGACGCTAGTCCATGACTTGGGAACAAAATGGGGAAATGCAGTCTTTAAAATAAAGATGCCAGAAAAGCGTCTTTGGGGCGATGCCACAAAAGAAATACTTTTGATTCCCTAAAGAACCTTTCAGCGGATGGTTCTTTAAAGCAGTGTTTTTTGACTCCGGTCCTGGGGACCCAATTATCAAGGACCTCATGAGCTGGATCAGATGTGTTGGGGGTAGAGAATACAGTAAGATTCTATGCCAGTTCATAGAACCGTATCTCTAAGCCAAGAACCATTTAGGAACCTTTATCTTTAAGAGTGTAACTAGCCTAGCAGATGAAGCATTTGACCATTTGGAAAAGTCACACCTCCCCTAGTTACTGTTGCTAAGTCTGTCAAACTTTCAGTTCAAGGCATCTGGTAGCATCTGTAGCACTTGTGCTAACAGACTAAACAGTTCAGTAAATTTAGAGGAGTACATCTGTCCATACTTTGCTATTTAATAATATTGGCTTTTCAGGAGACATACATGTTTGAGAACAGACAATATCACCGTAGACCAAGTTTAATAAAAACCCAACATTATTTAAACCTGGGAAATGTTTAAATCACTAGATGTGCCAGACTTTAGTGTCTAATAAGGAGGAACCGTGAATGCTGCCGCTTCAGATGAGCTGTGCTAAAGTTTACACTGGAGCTAGTCAATGCAGTTGTATGTCATCTTGTACACAATCTTTTAGCAAGTTTTATTCAAATGTAGTATTATTTATCTTAACAAATGTTTTTTAATTGCAAAGAAAAGCAATAAAAGTACAGGCCTATTTATCAAACTGTCAGCAGCTAATCAGATCGGCTTAGCTGATCTTAAAACTGTTTTGTAATGTTTCTTACTGTTAGACATGATATTAAAAGGTGTATTAGCGAATACAGTAACCCA